TAATGGAAATACTAAACACAATAATATTCATTTTAATCTTTAAGTTACATCATTTAAAAGGTGCTGCATAACAAGAATGGCCCATTAGTCATTGTCATTTGAAACTGCAGAACACTATTTTTCATATGCATATGTTTATATTAATTATATTATATTAAATTAAATTATATTATACAACTTAGAAATCAGTGGCAGTCTTGTTCATGTTTATGTGTACCATATCTTCAGAACACTTGAATACACACAAGCATATTCATTTTTTATTTTTAAGTTGCAGAATTCAAAAGGTGCTATTTTTGAATATTCCATATTTGATTTAGAATTCATACACTATTTATGCATGTTTGAAATGCACATGTTTGTACATATTCTATTAGTATACAACTTTCAAAAATCTTAGCCCCAGTTCTGTATATATTCATGTATGCAACTTCTTGTAAAACTGATTATGTTTGAATAGACCGCTTGGACAATTAAAAACCTGTATCAAATGCGTTCAGGCCAGGTTGCAGAGGAACAAAGGCTGATAATGGGCCAGACAGTAAAGTGCTCTGCAATTACACCAGCAGGACGTAATTGACTGGGAGAAGAACAGACAATGTCTGATCATCAGTGAGCAACAAAAGAGCAGGTACCATCTCTGATCGTCAGAGAGACAAAGACAAATTAACCTTGTTGATCAAAGCTTGCTTGTTAAGTTCAGGATTTTAGAATGGGCTCTTTTGATGATGAGTAAGAATATAAGTTGAATTAGCCACAACACACAGGATGTTCAGCTGGAATGACAGGAAATTTACTGAAATGCAATTCAAATTTTATATAAACGGTTGTATATATTTACACCACCATTCAGAATGTTTGGGGTCTGTAAGGTTTTTTTAATGTTTTTGAAAGATATCTCTTTTGCTCACCAAGGCTGCATTTATTTGATCAAAAATACAGTAAAAACTGTAATAATGTGAAATATTATTACAATTTAAAGGAGTTTTTTATTTGAATATATTTTAAAATGTCATTTATTTCTTTGGTTCAAAGCTGAATTTTCAGCATCCACTACTCCAGTCTTCAGTGTCACATGATCCTTCAGAAATCTGTTGAAGAAACATTTCTTATTATCATCGATGTTGAAAACCGTTTTGCTGCTTCACACAGAAATTCTGGAATTGAACTGGAATTGAAAAGCCAGATGACAATTGGCTGTGTTGTTCAAATCCACTTACAATATAATAGAGACTGCATTAAAGTCTTAAACCCAGGATTTGGACTCCATTTCCATTCCAGAAAGCCTATTGTCCATTACCAAGGATCCCGGGGGGCGTATTACAGAAAGATCCTAACTTTAAAATCTTATCTTATCTGTTTGGTAACCATGGTACTGTAATTTCAGTTAGGACCACATTTAGGACAAAAGCTATTACAGAACAGCGTTTCCTAAGTGTGTTATCTTATCTTTACAGATAGGAAGGGGGTATTACAGAAACCTCCTAACTTGACAAAAAATCCTAAAAACTGTCTTAACTTTAGGACAACCCCACCACAGCTGTCCTAACTTCAAAATTATTTAAAAGCTAATGGAAAAACCGCTTACAATTGCACTGTCCAACAATGGTATTACATTTATTAATAATTGAAAATGAAGAAAGGAGATGTTTAATGGTAGAAAGACTCCTGGAGGACCCTGAAGATGTGTTACATTTTGATGACAAAACACTTATAGGCTAAGTAATTACAGACTGCCATGCAGCATGATATTACAGTTAGCACAGGAGCTGCAACCAGCATCACAGAGACCAACAAAGCGTCACGGAGCATTACCGGTTATAGTGCAAGTGACTAATGCCTTACACCGTGTCTACACTGGACGCGAGCGGCGGCCCGACAAAATACTATAGAACTTATTATAATCAGTGATGCTGTCTACACTGGCTGAGGCGCGGTAAACTGCTGCCGCGTTCTATTTATGACGTGCTGACACAAATTTCAAATGATTTTCAACGGTCGCTTTATCGCGTCCAGTGTACAGTAGACAGACTTTAGCTGTTGCTGCACGGCGTGACAGGACAGCTGTCGCGTCCGGTGTAGACACGGTGTTACAGTTATTTGCAAAAGGCGATTTTCAAAGTGAAGTAGCTTCTATTATTTTGTTTACCTCATCAGCAGCTCATGCAGTGTTGGTTGCTTGGTAACAGACCTGAGAGTGGATTGTGGAGCTTGATAATGCAATTTAAGATTTCCTAACTAGAGATAAGATACGATTTTGTAAGATAGGATAAGAAATAATCAAGTCAAGATTTGCTTCTGTAATACGAATTTCAGAAAAATCCTAATTTAACATATCACATCTTAAGTTAAGACCTAAGATAAGAAACTTTCTGTAATACGCCTCCAGGACCCTATAAGGGACCTTGTGTTAACTTGATTCAGGTAGACAGCACTCCCATCTCCAGATTGTGCTGTAATTGTCCTTTCCTGGTATGCAGTGTCTTTACAGCTTGATAATCCAACTAAGACCAGTAAGACTATAATGCTGTCCATGACAGGAAGGCCTTCATCGGGGCCGCCCATATTTACATCACCTGACCTTTTCTTTCAATTACTTTTTTATCCATATTTGCAGGATATCACATTTGCAGGCATAAACAATTGCTTTCTTAGCACTATTTTCCTCACAAGTGTCTATGTTTGCATTCCCACACTAGCAGCTTGGACAGAGTTTCCTCTAACAGCTGTACCCTTGATCCGAGCACGTATCCTATTATACTAACGTCCAACAAAGACCCTCCTCGTGTCCATCAGGAATCCCCCTGTGGACGAGCCTGTGCTTTATTCCGAGCTCCAGTTCTCCTCACGGGTCCCCAGGCACCGCCGGGGTCATGGCTAACCCAGGCACGGTGTCAGCAATTCATCTGAGATGCCACGAGTTCATGATACACCTCAGCTCAGGAGGAGATCCGCACATGATGAGAGAAGTGTGGGGTCACGGAGTTCACAATAACTAGAGTCTGTCAGATTCCACACACAAAAAAGGGAGGAACACACACTGTTTTCTAGCTGTATAACTGGGGAGATACCATAGACTTCTGTTGTTTTTAGCTATATGAAGCTTTACTTACAGACTGCCTGGAAGGATGTTTTTCAGAAAGTTGTCTCCAAAAAGAGGTTTTGTCAGGTTTAGCTCAATTCTGAAGACAATTTTGTTCCCAGATTACGTCAAGTAAATCCACACAGATAACAATAAAATAAAAAGCTTTAAATGTTGTTATAAGATCGAAACTCCAACAACTTGATTAAAAATACTTGGATTTTGTAGCATGTTTTAGAGAAAGGACAATGTAAAATTCCAAATATTTGTGCTACGTTCGAGTAATTTTCAGTACAAGGGCTTGAAAGTCTAAAAAATTAGTTTCTTGAAAATTTCTTTTCGCGCATGCGTATTTCTATACTCGATACAATCATTAGAATGACAGACGTGCCTAACAATTAGAGCTGTCATAGAGGTCAGAATACAAAAATCAGTTTAAAATTAATCGAGAAATTATAAATGAAGCCTTATTAAGTCCATATTAAGTGACGACAAATTCCTTTTGATTTGGGAAAGAATTTCTGTCTAAAACTATTTATTTATAGGCAACATCATAGGCTATATTTGACGTATTTTGTAGCTGATGAACCAGGACTTTTGTTAAAAAAAAAAAAAAACCGCTTCGACTTTCATTTTCATTTTCACGGCTGGAAATTTTAATTTGAAAGAAAATGCTTGAAGAATAAAGTGAGTTGGTCAGAAAAACGTAGTCTGTATCAAACCACTGTTCAATATTGCACATATATCAGTACACCGATATTATTTATTATATATAAAACATAATATATTTATATACCATCATAAATAAAAACGAATTTCTTTGCTGCCTTTCTCTGGAATATGAATGATGAACAAGCAGTTTGAGATATGGCAGTACAGATTGAAATCCAGCACACAAGAAAAGGACACAAACTTTATAGTCCAATTACAATGAATCGGGCTTCTTTGAAGGCTGATCTGACTGATGTGATAAGATCACAGCGCTTTCCTGACACCTCTGTACAAAACACATCTCACCTGTCCAGGTTATCATCGGTCTGGGAATTAAGAACTGTTTTGTCTGTCTCTATCAGATAAAATTATAATATTTCTGGTAAACATACGCATTTACAGCCAAACGATCCGTCAAAACTCGCCCAGATATGTGAGTTAGGCTACCTATTTTAAAAAAGTGGTATTTTGTTTATTTATAGGCTTACAAGATATGACACTGCGAATGTATATTTCTTACTCGATTTAAATTTAACGTTTCCACTAACATATTTTATGTTTTATAAATGTATAGGCTATATTATATGACTTTACTGTCTTCTTAATTGTCTAAAAATGGCCTATATGCATGGGAAGAACATCGATAAAATTCACAGATTGAGTTCTTCTTAATACCTTAGTTTTAATCCATGCATAAAATGAATTAATAAACATAGCTATAGCTTATAATTAAACTGCATATTGTGTTGCTTTGCGTGTGCTAAACTGTGTTAAATGACTGCTTATAAAGCAAAATAATCCATTTTGTGTAAATATTTAAAGCTAAATGGCAAAACTAAAACGGTCTCCTACCTTAAGTGACTATTGTTTTAGTCTCTCTGTATCACAGTTTCTTCAAAAGATCTCAAAATATTTCAGAAAGAAGCGCTTCAAGCATGATAAGACCGCAGCTTTACGAAAATGAACATCAGTTTGTCTCTCAACGTTATGAAAACTATCTTTATTAGCAAAAGTACAAACAAAAGCACATTTACGCACGAAATGATTCATGAAAATTGTTTAATCAAATGTTGCATCTTACATCAAATCCAACAGTCCCCCTCGCCCACCCTGACAGCCCAAAAAACACAGGTTTGAAGTGTAATATTTTATACCGAGGAAAAAAATGTTGGAAAATACACCAATAATATTTATTGTCGAGCCTCAGAATACCTTAAGTGCTGTGGTTGATTGTTTCGATACATGAAGTTGATGAGCAGTAAAATAAATACAGCTAAATAAATAATTGTTAAATCCATTGTCTCCGCTTCTCAGTTAAAACAAACGTGTATTTTTGTTGAACGTTTTTAGGGTAACACCAATTATTTCTGTTATTTTGGATCGATGCATATCCCTTCGTTCCAAAAACTAAATTAAGACGTTTTGCATTTAAAATGGACAATTACACTGTTGAATACGTCAATCAAAAGTTCTTTTATAAAGTCTTTTTATGGCACATGTCACGGTTGACTGTTAAAAGTAGAGATCAGGAGAAAGAGAGTAAAGATATCTTCACATGTTCACGAATATCATTGCTATATAAACCGACATCGAGAGAGAGTTTCTGCATCATCCGTGACTGTTTAGTTTTTTATGTCTGTAAATGCTCACCAAATGTCCCCATCTTCATCTTCCTCTTATTGAATGGACATGTAGGGCCAGTTGAAACCGCTCCCAGATAGCAGCATATCCCTGATGAGCGTCTCAATGGGCGTTTTACCCACCAGTCGAACGAAGAAAAGCTGCTCTATGACGGAGGAGGACACCATCCGGAGCGCGGGGAGTCTCAGCAGCAGCTTGCCGAAGCGTGTGGGCTGGTTCGGGTACTGACTCCTCACATACTCCTCCAGAGCACACTGAGATTTCTCCTGAAGACCTTCTATGTGCGGCACATCTGAAAGGCCGCATGCATCTGCATACAAATGAATATAGCCATTAAACACACATCATTCAAAAGAATAACGTCTCTGTCACACGTTTACATAGGCTAAATCGTCACTGTATGCACAGTAAACGTATTTAACATGGTTCAGAAAAACAGAAATAGTAGTAGCTATAAAATAAAGCGTTAGCATTCATTTATTTCCTTAGATAAACACAGAATTAATTCATTTGAAAATCTAATTGTCTCAAAGTAGCTTGACCTACAACATAAATTAGCTATGTCAGTAGACAAATATGTTTTCATTCAAGATGTTAAACGAATATACCGTGTGCATTTCAGTTTCATTTCTTAATGTTTCTCATAATAAACGATTAAATAGGCTACGAATGGATACAACGAATTAACGAAACGATTGAAGCTCTGAATGCTGCATTATTTGTATAGAATAGGCTATATTTTGAAAGTTTAATCGAAACTTCTTAGAGAGTAATTAAAACTAAGAAGAAGAAACTCCTCAAAATAACAGTTTGGGCCACACTGTAATGTTATAGGCTACACACTCGGTATTTTTAACCAGTCTGTATATATAGGCCTAAGTAGGCTATATAAAACTCTTTTTGGAGAGTTTTGAAAAGTTTGATATCAGCGTGTGACTTTTAAAGGGTCTATTTTTCTGTCCTTAGCATACTTTCTTGGTGCATTCGGTCTTGTGGCCCAGTTTTTAATCAAAACAAAATATTTTTGTTGAATATTTGTAGTCTGTAAATTTATAACAAAATGAAAACTAAAACTACATCTGTTTTGTCGATGATTCCCATAACTGAAACGAAAAGCCCGCGTATTCCAGTCTCGGCGTACTGTTGCTATAGTAACGCCCCGACTAAGCGAATTTCTGTTTAGCGCTCTTCTTAAAACTTGTTATCGAACTTTGGTAACTCAAACGTTGTTCTATTTAGCGCGCTCTGCTTAAAACTTGAAACGAACGCTGGTTGCTAAACGTTGTTTGAATGTTGCTTAAACGTTGTTTAAAAGTTGTGAATGCGTAGCGTAATTATTTTCAAAAATATATTTGAGAAGGCCTTTTGATTTTTCCTTTTTTTGACACGATTCAAGCCTTTAATGGAGGATGGGGTTGTGTAACATGCGAATTTCCATCATATATAATGTAGGCAGCACTTTGCTAATTGTTTTAAATTATGAAAGCTCACACATCTATATGTTCAATTCCGAAGGACTATAAATGAAATATTTGTAGGACTACTTTTAAAATGAATTTGTCACCACCGAAAAGGAACATTTAAAATGATCATTTAAACCTAAAACATTAATGTTGCTTAAATATATATGGTAACCTATGTGTAGATTTAACTTGACAAAAACAAGATCTAAATTAACTTTTATTACTGAGCAGCCTAATGCTGATTTTATATATTTTTTATTTTATATTCTTATTCAAAATTTTACATCATCGAACTAACATTATTTTTTAAACGACCACGTCTTTAATCTGATTGTGCGCAGATGGTACTTTTGAAAGATTGACGGTCCATTATTTGAAACAAACTTCGCGGAACAAATAGGATTAGGATATAGGATTATGCTATAGACAAGCTCATTAAACTGTACAATAAGTTTAGGCTACTTGATCTTGATTCGGGCCTACCTGATGTGAACAGCACTATTGCTTTGGCACAGCTGTATTCGGCGGAGTCCACCTGCAGGGCCTTCAGTTTCTCCACCTGCTCTTGGAAGAATCGGATATGATCCATGAAGGCCACGACTCGGTCCGCGGACATCGGAGACGCGTGAAGCCCGGCGGCGGCGAGGAGATGAGCCACGTGGAGAGGCATGGAGCTCTGCGCAGCGTTCAGAACGAAAAGTTCACTCCAGGTGAGTCTGAGGAGAGACACCTGATCCGTGATTTGGAGATCAGGAAAGAAAGGGATGTTCCTCGCCCATTCCACCGCGCTGAAGAGCAAACGGGCCGCCAGCTCGCAGATGTTCTCAATGCCCATGATGTTCCCCGACTGCATGCAATGGTTTCCGTATCTGGAGGCTGGATATGGCTCGGCCCGAAGCAGGAGGGATATGTATCCGGACAGGTAGCATTGGCCACTCAGCGGGTCTCCGTGGGACTGAAGAGCAAACGGGCCGCCAGCTCGCAGATGTTCTCAATGCCCATGATGTTCCCTGACTGCATGCAATGGTTTCCGTATCTGGAGGCTGGATATGGCTCGGCCCGAAGCAGTAGGGATATGTATCCGGACAGGTAGCATTGGCCACTCAGCGGGTCTCCGTGGGTCAGCGCGTAATGGCTCGGGTTCGGCTGATTCGGCAGCATTCTTCCACGCTGAACCGCTGTCAAAACAGAATTAGATGGAGAAGAAATGTGCATAGAAATAACATAGAATGTTAACTCATCTTTCTGTATGTTGGCTAGATTATGTACACTCTCAGAAAAAAAGATAATTCAAAATATACTAACATTTAGGTGCTGATATACACCTTAGGTACAAATATGTATCTTTAATGTATTAATATGTGCTATCTTTAGTGATAAATTAGGGACAAACTGTCCCTTTGAAAGTGTACCGCACCAGTTTTTGTACCTTTTTTCTGAAAGTGAATATGCACTGCAATCGTGGGAATTATCTATCTATCTATCTATCTATCTAACACACTGTTTACACAATTAACTGCAAGTGCAATCAATCTAGAATATGAAAACAATACTGTAAGAAACTATACTCTGTAATGCTCTTAATATTTTATGCATTTTACACTAAGATATTAATATGAAATATGTTCTACTGATACAATAACACAACTTTTCCTGTCCAGTAATTGAATGCAGACTAAATAAGCGGTCTAGTTAATATACCTGCTTAAAAGTTGCTTTGTAAATAAGGTTATATTATTACACGAAGAATAATTTTAAAAATGTTTTTAAGAGATTTTTATGTTCAGAAGCAAAATCCTTTAATTAAATTGCTTTTGGCCTTGAGCTACAAGTTGTACAGTATTCAGGCTAGTGTAGGCTATATAAAAGTTTATTAATGTTGTGTTATATTAATTTGCAATATGAAGTTTTTTTTTTAAATACCTCTCTTTATTTTTATTATTAATTTTGGCCAATTTCTCTTTCTTTCTTTCTTTTTTTCTACTTCTTTTTTTTTTACATTTTTTATGTGGGCTTCAAAAGAAGAATGCACTGCGCACTCACCTTCGCGTCTCATGCCCACTTTCAGGCATTTCTTCAGGCGGCAGTACTGGCACTGGTTCCTGTGGTGCTGGTCCACCGGGCAGCTTCTGTTGGCACGGCACGTGTACGTTAAGTTCCGCCGAACGCTCCGCTTGAAGAAACTTTTGCATCCCTCACAGGAGAACTGTCCGTAGTGCTTCCCGCTGGATTTATCCCCGCAAACCGCGCACTCAATGTGCTGCTGGTTCTGCGCTGAGTTCTGTCCTTTATCCTCCGCGGAAGGCAGTCCGGTGTTTGGAGAGTGCGCGGCTGCGCTCAGGCGGTGGTGATTGTGGTGGTCTCCCCCCGGTCCGCTCTGATCATCCAGAGATCCTGCCGGTGCCAGTTCCTCCTGCGGATCTCTCCACACGCTCACCACCATGGCCATGGCTGGACTGCGTTCTTTTACACGTCTTCTCCAGAATTATTCAAGATGAAGAAGGCCGGTCGTGTTTTATCCATGCAGAAGAGCCAATTGATATGGAAAGCGCATCGATGAGACTGGAGATACGTGTCCAACAAGATCAGACAGCCAGATTGGACATAAAACAGTCGCGCCGGAACTCCGTGCTTGGTGGTGTCTTCGTGCGTAAAAGGGACAATCGGAAACCCCAAATGAATCAGATCCGAGGAGAGCAAAGACGCGACGTTACGCAGCCTTCTGTTGGCATGATTGACATGAGCATGAATGGAAGACTTCAAATGTAACTAAAAACAGGAGTATCTGTGAGAACAGAGCTGAACGGACTCAACTTTGGCATGATGCTGATCCAAATGACCACACCTTCACTTGGTCTTATACGCGCTTCAGTGGTGGTCTGTTGAATGGTCTGTATTATGGACCCCATCAGGTATTAAAGCACAGAAGTGGGCGGCTACTTTAAGCTCGGAAGCTCTGTTTGATTGGCCATTTAGCTCAGATCCTTCCAAAGGCGGCTGGATGCAATTATGTGCTTCAAATCACTTTTACCAAACACTGAGGCTTTTATGCGTTTGTATTTTTTCTCATATTGGACATGCATAGGATTGAACGTTTTAGCTATTCAAAAGGTAGGTTATGCTTTTTATCCTTACCACTATCTGTATTGAATTCATTTGATAATCAATGTAGATCATTTATCATTTTTACAATTGATTAGTAGTAGGCTACATAATATTTAATCTGATGCTCACGAGTGTAGAAAAAAAGAAGGACTGCCACCTAGTGTGAAAAGAAAAATTCTATTATAACATATAATGTTTTATTACTTTAAAATACTTTTTTTTATTTTATTACTTAAAAATAATATTTACATTTTTTCAGGGACTAGTCAATTTTGATATTTTGGGCTATTATTTTCCATATATTCTGAAGGATTTTACAGAGGGGTTTGTTAATATATAATTTACATTTTATTACTAATAGTAATATGATGAAAGTTTTTCTTATTTATGGAGTGATAGAAAGAGAGATCCAAAACCCCCTCTGTGCAAAACAATATGAGAACAAAATGAAACAAGAATTTTGAAACTGGCTTTATCCAATGTTTGGATTTCTATTCTGGAAATGTATGCAAATTAGCGCATATTTAATTAGATCATGTCTAATTTGCATATTTAAACATACCTTTTTAGGAAATTTGTAAAACAAAACAAGTGTCTTAATGTACTGTGATTAATCAAAAAGGGACAGTGATCTGTTAGTGTAAAATTGTTATCCTATTCACCTGTAGTGTCTTGCTTTAAATATAAACAACCAAGGTATTTATAGGAGCAGCTATAGTCTAGAGATATTATTAATAACAGTGATTGCACTTCCAGCAGCAACTATTCTTCTCATGCATAATTCAGTGAGTTCAAGGGTCAACGTTTTTGCTTTGAGTTGCTGGTGAACCTCAAGGCTCTGGATGGAGCAGAGTCACGTGATCGGTGGCATGTTCGTGAACAGGTTGTAGGAGCCGCAGGTTAAAGGGTCAAAGCGATACAATGAGCAAAGACAAGGACAAAGCTCAGGGTCAGAGGTCAAAAGAAGGGTCACTACTCCAAAAACAATGTGCTAGAATTTTTAAACATTATTATCTTAATTTTTCTACACATTTCTGCCAGGAATATTAACTATATATATATATATATATATATATATATATATATACTTTTTACTCAAATTGTAATATCACATCATAATAAGTAATACAAAATATTAAGTAATATAATAATTTGTAATAAAATGGTGTATATACATTGATATAGGCTATATATATATATATATATATATCACATATAATATAATATATATAACAAATATATATATAAAAAATCTATATATATATTATATTATTAATAAATATTATAATACATTTTTGCTCTGTAACTTCTGTTCAGTTAGTCCAGGCAAATATCAGGTGTGTAAATCGCAGCAGTCGACACCAGCGCTGACACTTTATGTAAAAAAAGGGCCACACTGGCTCAGGGGCAGCGGGTGGTGTCAAAGGCCATCGCATTTCACATGCAGATGTGTGACCTTCGTGACCTCTGGAAGGACTGAGCTATTTGGAAGCCAAATGCATGCAGCTGGATCTCTGCGAGACTGAATGTACTCCAGCACACCTGGATGATATAAAGCAATTCAGGGCCTCCATTATACGGCCCTTGATCTGTATGTCACATTCCCAGATGTAACTCATTTATTTCTGATAGCCTGGACTGATTGTGAAATATTGATTAGTGTTGAATCAAAGACTGTGTGTAACAGGTACTTAGTATGACTATTGGAAAACAATACTTGCTGTCTTCTTAAGCTTTGAGATTCAGATATCCATGTGATCAGTATATAAGAGTTTTGATTGTCTACATATGAGGGTCCTTGACTGCCATTTAAAGGAAGGGAGTTTCCATATAGGGTTAAGACCTCAATATACCACCATTAAACACAGTCAAGGGCTTGAAAATAGTTCTATGTAATAGGGGTTAAGCTCAACAAACCTCTTTATTCTGTAAAACAGGCCGTGCAGCTTTTGGTTCAGGTCTTTTGCATGTGCTTCGTTAAACATGGAGCTGTTTTCACCAAGATGTCTTCAAGATGAGCATCACTGATGTCTATCACATATACAGATTGATGCCTGATTTTTTTTCTTCTTTTCACTAACATTTGGATATTAATGTTGAATAAAATGCCAACAATAAAAACAAATAGCTATGTTAATTGATTACCTTAAAAGTACATGGATATCCCCATAATTTCATACTGCTGTTAACACGTTGAGCAACAGGTGAGACCTGTTTTCTGGTTTGGTCAGGTGACGTTCGACATGTACCCTATTATTCTAAACCTGGGTAAATGAAGTCCTGGGGTTAATTGCTTCACGTCTCACACTGCTCATACTTTACCTGGGGTTAAAAGTTAATCTTGGGTTTTTAAGTTTGCGATTCACACTGTACATTCTTAAACCCTGGGTTAACATTCTCCTTTGCATATTTGCAGTGTCTGCATCACTGATTGCATGAATGCAGCATGAGACCTGTTTGGTGACCGTGATTTTATCAAGTACAACATGTTCCTGGATCAACATCCTTGTTGATCCTGGAACAACATTCCTATCAACCAATCAGAATTGAGGGATAACTTTTCAGGAAATATCTGTTTTAGGCTTACAATCAGGGTTAGGTGCTTCTACACCCTTGTTAATCAGCTATCATTTCACACTGTTTTTAGGAATAAATTATGGGTAGGGTTAGGTTTAGGGGTAGGGATTGGGTTAAGTCTATATTTTTGGACAGTTATGTTGATCCAGGATCAACAAAAGATGTTGATCCAGAAACATGTCTTACTTGGCAAAATCACGGCAACCAAAGGGAATCCTGGGGTTTCTCCATGTCCAATTTAGATGGGGATAACAATTAATCATGGGCAGTCATAAACTGAGGATTCACACTGTATGTTCCTAAACCCTGGGTTAATGTGACATTTACCTTATACTGTTTATACAACGCGCGCTGTTTCCGTGACTACTCTAGAGCACGTGGGTATGAATCACGCGATTGAATGTTGCTTAAGCATTTAACCATAACATTTGAACACCTCTCCGTTTCATATTGTACAAAGTTGGCAAAGTTTACTCCAGAGCGGGGTTTCAGAACCCCAGGTAAGAAGCTGTGCTAACCCCGATTCTACGTTACATGCGTGAAACGTTCTTTTACCTGGGGTCAAAAGCAGTGTTTAGAACGACGATAACCCGAAGTCAAATGCAGTGTGAAAAGCCATTATGAGGAGCTGAATGTTATGGCTAGCAACAGACACCCAATCGCGTGTTTCGTATTCACGTGGACAGTCATGGAGATAGCAGCGTTGTACATTAGTTTTAGTGTTTGATTGGGAAAATGTCAAATGGTGATGGAAACAGATGAATTGGAGTTAAGAAGAGGCTGTTCTTTATGTTTACCTTGACAGTCCACCGAAAAGTCCATTCTGGAAAATAAAGATACAGCCTACTGTAAGGTAGCCTATATAATACGAAGAGCTAGAGCTGTTATGTAAACAGGTCGCGTTCTGCATTATTGGTCTACCCTTATGAAAAATAAGTTTATTCAAGTGTGCTATTAGTATACTTCTTTTAAACTAAAAATAGGAAAGTATACTTTTAGTCTACTTTTTATGTACTTCTCAGAAATGGGCTTTATGTACTTCTCAGACATATACTTAAAATGGCATTTAAGTATACTTGGCTTATACTTAGAAAAAGTCTAAATATATTTTAGCTATAATTGTGCTCCTAGAATCCGTGTTTTCATTGTTATACTGTAGGGGGCGCTAGTACACATCTTCTGTACAGAATTTCCAAAAAACACAAGAGAAGAAGAAACCGAAACAACAGATGCTTCCACATGTATTCTAACACGATCATCAGACATAAAACAGCATCAAAACTATGTAACATTATGGAATAAAATGTAGACCAATTAAGAGGTAATAATGACTGCCAAGCTTTGGGGTGTTGTTTAACTTTGTCTACGTTTTGATTATCATTCTGAATCCAATTCAAGCATGAAGCTAGAATAAAATGTTTTTGTTTAAAGGCAGATACCCTGTTCTTTTGATGTTTATATGTTCAGATATTCATGTAACAAAATATATACAAATTAATACCTAAATAGGGACATAGTAGTATACTTAAAGTATGATGTAAAGTTAATTTAAAGAAAACTTACGAGTATACTTGCAGTATAAAACTACTAAACTAGTAGTTTACTGAGACTATACTTCAAAGTGTACTAAAAATGCTACAAGTATTTAATTAGTAAACTATCAGTATACCTATAAGTTCACTTTTAGTATAGTTGCAGTACAAACTAAACATTTTGATGTAAACTAGTTGTGTACTCAAAGTTTACTACTGTTATACTTAAAAGTATACTTTTATATACTAGAAAGTGGGCCAATTTAGTCCCAAGGAGTATTGAAATAGTACACTTACAAGTATACTACTAGTACACTGATATTTGTATACTTACTACAATAAAGTATACTTAAAAATATACTTGAACTTTACTTAAGTATACTTACTAAAATAAACTTGAAGTATACTACTTTTTGGTAAGGGTAGTCATGGCACTGACACCGCAAATTAGCAAATAAGAACGTTAACCCCATGGTTAGGAATTGAAGCAATATAACACAGGTTTAGAATAACCCAGGGTTAACTATTTCAAGTGTGAAAAGCACAGTTAAGCACAGTGTGAAAAGTTCATGTTGGGCATTGTGAAGCCATGAACATTCCAACCTTGATAGTGAAGTAATTTTAAAAAGCAAATTTACATTTAGAAGGTGTTTCATAAATCACTTTTA